TTCCCTGGGTGGTTGCTGTCTACCAACCTACTACTATATATATATACTATATATATATATTATCGTAGCTTAGGGGTATGGTATGGTAGTAGTGAGGGAGGGCGAGGATGACTGGTATCCTAGCTTGGGGGGGTTGTATCCAAGCAGTGAGGAGGGTAAAGTGATTGGTATCCTAGTTTGGGGGCGTGGTATCCTAGCAGTGTAGCGAGGTTGACTGGTATCCTAGCTTGGGGGCGTGGTATCTTAGCAGTGAGGTGGGGAGGGGGGAGGGAGGGTCGGAGGGAGAGAGGGTGACTGGTATCGATCAGTGGTGGTAGCGCGCGACGCCCAGCCTAACCTGAGCTGTGGAGGAGGTCTGGGTGGCGGCCACCACTGTTGGTCTCCCTCTCTGCCGCCCACGCCCACGGAAATGACATTAGTGTTGATTCCTTGATCCAGGCGGCGGCAGGAAACTGTGTGTGTGTAAGTGCGGCAACCAGGAACAACTAGATGCAGTGGTACCTGTGTGATTCCTGTCTCATGTGCAGGAGGTGTGCGTGTGGGCGAGTCACCTTGTTGTCACACCAACCTACATTGTGAAGGACTCATCTCTCTCTCTCTCTCTGTCTCTCTCATACAGCTTTAAGTATAAGCTAATGCCAACTATGTGACTTATAGTGTAGTAGTTATATATGTGCATACGCGGAAATATGAAAGAAATGCTGGAAAGCTGATGAAAACGTAGTGTTTAATGTATGGTTGCCAAGGGTAGTGGAGGTGTAGCTCTACTCCATCAGCGAAGGACTCACACACGTGGTGTATCATACTTAAAACTCAACACATGCACCAATATTCTCGTTGTGGATCATTACAGTGTTTTCCTCAATTCGTCAACTTTCGCTTTGTTTATTGTGAAATATTTGAGGAAATTCTTATCTAATAAGTAAAGCTGACCACTTATTTCACCTCTTATTTGTTTAGAGTTGTAATGTGTTAACCGGGAAGAAAGAACCTGCTAGATAGTTTGTTTCTTAACACCACCAAGACATCCGTTACCCGTCACTCTCCCTCTTCACACACACCATCACATGTTCTTCCCTAGCACTTTTGGTGGTAGATAACATAGGTGCTGGTGGTAGATAACATAGGTGCTGGCGGTAGATAACATAGGTGTTGGTGGTAGATAACATAGGTGCTGGTGGTAGATAACATAGGTGCTGGCGGTGGATAACATAGGTGCTGGTGGTGGATAACATAGATGCTGGTGGTAGATAACCTGAGTGCTGGTGGTGGATAACATGGGTGCTGGTGGTAGATAACATAGGTGCTGGTGGTAGATAACATAGGTGCTGGCGGTGGATAACATAGGTGCTGGTGGTGGATAACATAGATGCTGGTGGTAGATAACCTGAGTGCTGGTGGTGGATAACATGGGTGCTGGTGATGGATAACATGGGTGCTGGTGGTAGAAAACATAGGTGCTGGTGGTAGATAACCTGGGTGCTGGTGGTGGATAACATGGGTGCTGGTGATGGATAACATGGGTGCTGGTGGTAGATAACCTAGGTGCTGGTGGTAGATAACCTAGGTGCTCGTAGTGGATAACCTGGATGCTGGTGGTAGATAACCTGGGAACTGGTGATAGATAACCTGTGTGCTGGTGGTAGATAAACCTGGGGTGATTGGATTACTTTGGTGGATAACCTGTGTGCTGGTGGTAGATAACCTGGGGTGGTTGGTGGATTACTTTGGTGGTAATGGTGGATAACATAGGAGTTGGGGGTAAATAACCTGGGTGCTGGTGGTGGATAACGTGGGAGCTGGTGGTGGATAACCTGGGGTGGTTCGTGGATTACTTTGGTGGTAATGGTGGATAACCTAGGTGCTGGATGTGGTAGTGGATAACCTGGGTACTGGATGTGGTAGTGGATAACTTTTTCCTGAAATACTTTTCACATCCAGGGTGTTTCCTTAGGCAATATTAAGTGTCATCCATGTTGGTACAAACGTGTGGAAATGAAGAATTTTTTGACCTTGAATTTGTGGTGATGGTGTTGGTTGTGGATAACCCTGGATGTGGTGGATAAATTGGGTGGGGGTGTTTGTGAATAACCTTGATTATGTGGTCTACCTGGACCTGGAGTCTACCTGGAGGATTTTTCAGGGATCAACTCCCCCGTGGCCCAGTCCTTGCCAGGCCTCTCGGTGGATCAGGGCCTGATCGAATAGCCAAACGTAGTCCAGCGTACGATCCACAGCCTACTGATCGGGTACTGAGTTTAGGTATCTGTCCAGCTCCCTCTTGAATGCAGCCACGGGTCTATTGGCAATTTCTTCATGTCTGGTGGGAGGCTGTTGAACAGTCTTGGGCCTCGGACACTTATTGTGTTTTCTTTTGGTGTACTAATGGCGCCCCTACTTTTTATTGGGGATATGTTGCACCGTTTGCCCAGTCTTTTGCTTTCATAGGGAGTGATTTCTGAGTGCAGATTAGGGACCAGTCCCTCTGGGATTTTCCAAGGTGTAGATTATGATGTGTCTCTCGCCTGCACTCCAGTGAGTACAGGTCAAGTGACTCCAAGTGTTCCCAGTAATTATGGTGTTTATCGGAACTGATATGTTCAGTAAAGATTCTCTGTACATTCTCTAGATCTTTGATTTCACCTTCCTTGAATGGAGCTGTTAGTGAACAGCAGTATTCCAGCCTAGAGAGATATCAAGTGCTTTAAAAAGGATTATCATTGGTATGACATTTCTTGTTTTGAAGGATAACGTGATGGTGCTGGTGAATAACTTGGGTGGTGGGGATGGATGACCTAAATGGTGAATTTGCAGTTTCACTTGCCTTAAGTGGGCCGTTAGTATGCAGCTGTATCAGCATTCCAGTTTAGGGAGTACTAGACCTTATTAAGTACCATCACGTTTAAATTTGTTACTTCTCTCCAGTGACTTGGAATGAATTATGGTTATGAATTGTGGAATGTAAATAGTTAACTCTGAATTGGTTTTTCTTCTCCTGTTAGTGACTTGTGTAATATGAGAGTAAATTGTAAGGGACCTAATAGCAAGTTGATAATAAAATCAGCAAATTCATATCAACTTGTTATGCGGAATTTGCTAAAATAACCAAGTGGCTTTCGTGCTTTGCAAATAAAAAAAGCCAAGAACAGCAGTTGTGATAGTGCCACTGTTGTTTTTGAACAGAAGATCATCCAACAGGTCTTAGTCCTTTACATTACACTTCTGCTCTTTTTGGTGGTTTGATGGCATCTTCGGTTTTCAGAGGCCGAAGACTTGTCAGCAGTCTCTCATGAAGGTATTGCTTCAAGAGGGAACTTGAGAAGTTCTTCAGGTCAGTTCGTGATCAGCCGGATGTGGCTCGTAAATTGGACTGCGTGTGCTCAGCAGTAACAGCCTGGCTGATCAGGCCTTCCTTCAGCAGGAGGATAGGTCTGGGGACGGGACCACCGGAGCATTGACTCCCGTAAAAATCCTTCATGTTGTGATGAGTATTTTTGTAGGATATGGAAATGAGAAAGAGCTGTATCCCGAGGATCACTTCGTCACTTGGGAGGCTTATGTTTAGGATGTGTTGGCATTTTTGTTTTTAACAAATCGGACCCAAAACAAAAATGCCAAACATCCAATCATAAGCCTCCGAATGGACTGGTGTCTCAGAGAACACGTATCAGCCCCTCAGCGTATGTCTCGATTCCATAGCTTACAAAAATACTCCTCAATATGAGGATTTTACGGAGAATGCACCGGGGCCCGTCCCAGATCACTCGTCCTGACTATTTATAGGATTTGATTTTTAACACTGCCAACAACAAAAATGTACCAACACACTCCAATATATTGACCCAGATACATGACTACCTCTAGACCACAGTAATCCGCCCCACCTTATTCATTTCCACAGACTACAAATATACTTTACACAGATACAGATGCTTTACGAGTACATGTCACCCATGCCCCATAATCACTTGTAATCAAGGTCTACTATATCTGCCACACAATACTTGTACCACAGACTACACTGCCCACACTTACTTGTATCCACAGACTACACTGCCCACATTATACTTTACCACAGACTACACTTCCCACACTATACTTGTATCACAGACTACACTGCCCACATTATACTTGTACCACAGACTACACTGCCCACACTATACTTGTATCACAGACTACACTGCCCACACTACTTGTACCACAGACTACACTGCCCACATTATACTTGTACCACAGACTACACTGCCCACATTATACTTGTACCACAGACTACACTGCCCACACTATACTTGTATCACAGACTACACTGCCCACATTATACTTGTACCACAGACTACACTGCCCACATTATACTTGTACCACAGACTTCACTGCCCACACTATACTTGTACCATAGACTACGTTACTTACCACTGACGTGTCACTGTCTCACATGTGGGATCTATAGCTATGTGGGTATGAAACTGCTTCTAAACAATCACCTCACAATAGAAGGCAGCTATTAGGGCCACATAAAACCTGAGCATTATGCAGTACACTCCAGCCTTATTCGAATTTCTAGGCATAATATGTCAAACATAATATACATGTCATGCATAATGTGTGTGTTATACGCAGGGCCAAACACAGTACATGTCATAAACATTTTCGACATAGTATTTCACAAAATATAGCTGTCATACACAATTTAACCTACAGTGTCATACACAATTTAACCTACAGTGTCATACACAATTTAACATACACAGTGTCATACACAATTTAACATACACAGTGTCATACACAATTTAACATACACAGTGTCATTCTCAATTTAACATAAACATACTGTGTAAGACACACTGTGGACCATAATCCGGCCGTGCCTCAGTGCTTAATTCCTTTGTTTTATGTAAAACAACCCTGGGAAAATAGATGACGCCGTTGCTATATATTATTTTATGTTTTTTTTTTCTTAAAAATGACAATAAATTTCACTGAAAAAGAAAAATAATTTTTACAGATAGTTTTTTTTTTGACATGTGAGAACAATAAAACAGTAACGAATGCTTGGCTGTTGTAATTCTTATGGTAGAAGCCACCTGGGCGGTATGGAGGGAACGGAGACGCTTAAAATACAAGCCCATACAGATTGCATGACCAACAAAGTCAACTTCTCCCCCGTCAAGATAGAGACGCCCCTGGAAAGTTTAGACAACAAAGAATTAGAAAATATTACATCCCGTGAAATGAGAACTAATAAGCACGCCGATAATAAAATTAGTAATATCGACGCAATTAGTGATAACTTAGACGATGGTTGTGAGAAAAATGATTCCACGAAAGACGAGGATTCCAAGACGGAGGAGGAGTGCCGTGGGAAACCTACGGCATTCTCCAAGGAACTCTCGAGTAAGAGTGCCGAGTCTGGCGAGGTGGACGATGTGTCGTGTAGTGAAGAAAATAGTATGGATAATAACACGTTTAATATCATAAATACGGAGAATTCTGAAAGCCAAGAACTTAGTGAAATGACTAATGATGAGTTCCCTAAGGAAACCTGCGATGACGGTAATATTAAAGAAAATGCTGAATCCGATCGAGGAACCCAAACTGATGAAAATTCCGATGACGACCTTTCTTGTCTTGAGGAAGAGGAGGATGAAGAGGAAGTTGGGTTAACTGACGAGAGTGAAGAAAGTGCGGATGAAGATTTGACATCTGAGAGTGATGATGGTGATGAGAGTGACGATGAAGCAGAATTCGATAACGATTCTCTCGAAGACGAAAAGAATAAGAAAGAAGAAATGACAGAATGTGATGCGCCTACAACATTTCCTCTTCCCACTGGTCCTCCTCTGAGTAGTGTTGCGAATGCGGAAGCTTGTCAAAAGCCCACTTCACCCAAGATCAGACAGAGATTGAAATCCTTTGGTAAGAAAGATAATAGTGAATTCAAAATTGAAATATTCGAGCCGAAAAGAAAACCCCAAGACATTCCTAGTATTAAAGTTCCCGATGAAGCTAAAAGAAAAGATGAAACGGCTACCAACAATACAATTGAAAGTAAATCTAAAAGTGAAAGTGGCCCAGTTGCAGCAGTATCTCTACGCCCACACACACCTGATAAGTGTATTGACCAATTGGCACCACCGAACGTTGCCAGTCCGTGTTCGGACGTTATAACCCCGGGCTCGGCTGACAATTTACTTAGCGCTTCTCTGGATGTAAGTCAGGCCATCCGGGAAGAGACGGACGAATCGAACAGATGTTCGCCCGTGAAGAGCCCCAGTCAGGAAAACATGAATATTGGACAACCTACTGCAGGTAAATTATATTGTTATTGTCCTTTTATATTCTTTATTTAGGATAATTTGTTATTAACATATTAAAGTCCGACAAATTTACTAAGCTTGTTAAGAAAAAAAGGCTGTTATATACCTCCTGTATCCTGAGTTAAATATTTTGTATACTAACCCCTCCTTTGAACTTATAAACCATTTCCTAAGAATAAAATACTTCAAACCTTAGTTCCACACTCTTAACTATAGTACCTCATATTTTTTGCAGCCACCATGCCTAAATTTAATACTTATCTCAAGTAGGCCTAACTCAGTTTCACCACTATCCTCAACCTGTGATCTGCCCTGTCTTTTATTTTTATATTCACAGCCCAGCCAGAGGTTAAAATGGGTTATTCTATCATAAGATAAATAGAGAATGCCTGGTCAACCAGGCTGTTCTTGTTATTGGCCTGCAGGCCTACGCAGCCACACAGTCTAGTAGTAGTAGGTAGCTGTCAAGCTTCCCCGTGAAAGCTTGTACTATTGTTCCAACAATATTTCTGATATCTGCTGGTAGAAATTTAGCCGTGGACCAAGGTTGAAGAATTGAGACACTTATGCAACATATGTTGCATAAGTGTCTCAATTCTTCAACTTGTCGGTTTTCAAAAACCATTCATCACACGTGGACCAAGGTTGTTGACAGTGTCATCTAATTATATCCACAGTATAGCGACACCAATTTTATCAGTGTAAAACCAATCCAAGTCAGTGAGATAACCAAATGGTGAGGTGTTAAAATATACACATACAATTTTAATATAAATAATGTTGATAAATTAGCCACGTGCAACACTTGAGGAAACGTTTCGCCACGCAGTGGCTTCGTCAATCCATAGACAGGAGAATGGTGAAGAACAGGAGTCTGAGGTAATCAGTCCCTCAGCCTTGAGTCGATGTAATCAGTCCATCAATCTTGAAAAGAATTGACTGATTACATCGACTCAAGACTGATTACCTCAAACTCCTCCTGTTCTTCACCATTCTCCTTTGTATGGACTGATGAATCTACTGTGTGGCGAAACGTTTCCTCGTTAAAGATACCCAAGTATAGCACATGTGTCTAATTTATCAACTTGTCGGTTCTCTGAATCATTCATCTACATGATAAATACAGTGAGCAAACGATACTCAGGCCGAACTAAATAATCCTGTTGCCCCACCATCTGGCATACACATGACTACAGTGGGGAGATGAATCGTAAGTGGTAAGATGAACAAATTAATAAAAAAAATGCACCTTGTACTTGGTATCAGCTTTGCAAATCCTACTGAGGTTGCCACAGCAGTTGGAAATCATCTTGTCAGTATCTCTCGGGGTCTCCATCTATCTTTCCCGTCTTTCTTCAAGTGTGCCAGAGAGTTGCCGCCTTTAGACTTTTTTTTTTTTCTAGTAGAGAAGAGTCTTATAATGTGCGTTTTACGTTTCCAGAACTTGAGTCAACATTTTCCTATTGCTGATCGTCGGCAGCTGGACTATACTCCAACATTTACATCCGTCAGCTCTCTAGTCTTCGTACGTCTTTTCATTCTGGTTTGGTCGCAAAGGGTTCTTCCCCATCCATGGAAAACTGCCGTTGTTGTGCCTTTTCCTAAACCGGGTACTTTGGGCCATGATGCCTTTCACTATTGACCCATTGCTCGTACTAGTGCAGTTTGCAAGTTGATGGAATGTCTAATAAATAGACGTTTAGTGTGCTGTTTAGAGACAAACAGGTCTTTCCACTCGCCAATTTGGCGAGTTCCACCATGGATCCCTTACTTCGTTTAGACACTTATGTTCGTAATGTCTTTGCTAGTAACCGCTCGGTTATCGCAGTCTTTTTTTGATCTTGAAAAAGCATATGACATTACTTGGAGATATAGCATCTTGACCCAAGCTCATTCCTTAGGCCTCCGCGGCAATCTGCCTCTTTTCCTTAAACCTTCTTGTCTGAGAGTCATATCCATGTCTGGGTTGATAATCTGCTTTTCCATACTATATACAGGATGAAGGTATCCCTTAGGGATGTGTCCTTAACACTACTACTTTTATACTAGCTGTTTATGATCTGGCCTCTTGTTCTCCCATGTAATATTTGGTCATCACTCTATGTTGATGACTTTGCTATAGCTTGTGCAGGCACCAACTGCCACCTAGTAGCAACCTCTCTCCAGAATGCTGTCGACAGTGTTTCCCATTGGGCCACTACTCATGGGTTTAAATTTTCTGGTACTAGATTACTTTTACTAGACGTTCTGTTGTCTGTAATACTTCGTTAAATCTATATGGTTCACAGATAACTGAATGTGATATGGTCATATTTTTCGGTCTTCTCTTTAATAGCCAGCTGTCTTGGAAATCTCACATTACCTCACTGAAAGCAACTTGGTATAGCTGACTGAACTTCCTTAAAACCCTCGCTCATCTTTCTTGGGGGAAGGGGAGGGAGGGGCGGATCGTCGAACTCTCCTTCGACTTCATTCATCCTTACTTTTATCGAAACTAGATTATGGCTACCAGGTATATTCTGTGGCCTCTCCTGCAACTTTTTCTAAACTTGATCCCATTCATCATCAGGGATTACGTTTGTATCTAGGTGCTTTTCGTTCCTTGTCGAGAGTCTAAATGCAGAGGAAAATATTCCATCTTTGAACGATCGGCGTGATGCCCATTGCATCCGATATTTTGTCTGCTGTCATGACTTTCACGAACCTTCTATACTATATAGGATGGTAACGGGTGTTAGTAGAGGTCCATTATTTGACTGCCGCCCCTGTGTACGCTGTCCCTTTTCTCTTCGTATTCACTCGCTCTTGGCTTCTCTTCAGTTGCCCCCTTTATATGTTTATCTAGTATCTTAACTTTTCTCTTCCCCCTTGGAAGGTTACGACAGTTCGAGTCTCTTCTTTCCCACTGCCGTGAGCGATAGCTCAAATACTTACAGCTGCTTCTCGCTCCCTTTTTCTTAATCACTTCTGGTCTCATTCTCATGCCGTTGAAGTTTACACTGATGGATCTAAATCCATGGATAGTGTCAGATTTGCGGCAATGTTCCCGGAGAATGTTTTGCGAGGTCATTACCCTGGTAGGTTTAGCGCTTCTTTTTGATTATAATAATAATTGTGAGGTCATTTATTAGACTCGACTAGCATTTTCACAGCTGAACTGTATGAAATTCTCATAGCAATTGTACGTATTGCATCCAGGTCTACCTCAGTATTTTTGTGGTAGTCTCATACTCCTTTAGTGCTTTGCAGGCTATCAAAAAATTTAATTCGCCTCATCCCCTAGTTCATATGCAACTTTGGTTGCTCCGCATTTAGCAAAAATAAAGAAATCGTCCCTGATCATTTGGATGTCCAGGGCAATGAGCAGGCGGACTCTGTGACGTGGTCAATGGTCATGATCTTCACATTTCATATACGTTTGATGATGAGTTTCGAGTCTTTCTACCCCCTCCCCCCCGAGTCCGGCCATGGTCCAGGCTCGTCTGGTACTAGCCTGGTCAGTTGGGGTATTCCATTCTCAGACTATTTTGCTGCAATCTCTAGCCACCTTCGCCGTTGTTGGCAACAACGACTGCGAAGGTTGCTTAATAACAAATTATATTCTATCAAATTATATTCTATGGAGCCGTGTTTACAGTTCTGATCTTCTTGTCATCGGTGTCGTGGCACATCGGGCACATGCGTCTCTTTCCTGGGTATCTTTATAGAGAGGCTCCCAGTACCACTATGAGAATTGTCAGGTTCCAGTTTCAGTTTTCGGTATTCTGCTAGACTGTCTTGTCTACCAGTGGGCACGTGGAATTTACTTCTGACATCGTCACCGCTCTAATGCCTTTACTTTATCCTATCTCCTTGTTGATGGCCCCAGCGTTGACGCAGACACTCTCTGACTTTTTGACAATAACAGATTTATTACACAAACTTTGTACTTCCTTTAGCGCTCCTCGCCGCCCTTACTAACTCTCCCTCTTGTCATTCTCCACCCCTGCTAGTCTCTGATCAAGCATGTTAAACCTTTAGCATGCCTTACTGTGCTGCGCTGTATAACCCTCGTGGTTTTAGCGCTTAGTTATTCCGTATACGGACGAGTATGATGCTGCAACCACACTAGAAGGATTGCAGGTACTTCCACTTGCAAATCCTCATAGTAAATCAGAGAAAGTTGGGGACATTAGTTACCCAGATTGCCATGTGAAAGAACGCGACACTACAGAGAAAGTGGAAGTATCTCAAAAAAGAACATTTTTTACACAGATGGACAAACAAGTAGACCCAGAAAAAAAGGGATAAACAAGGAAGTGAAACAGGAGGTATAGAGGCGTATGGTAATAAGGACAGATCAAAGTCGTCGTACACACAGCAGAATCGAACGTACAACAGGCAGGTACACACCCAATGCTGGAGAAAGAAGGGACACATAACCAAGCACCCTACGAGATAGTACATTACAGGGGCACTAACAAAACCCACACTAAACCAAAACAATCTAAATAATAAATTCTCATTCCTGTTTGCAAACATTCAGGGTTGAAAATGAAATTAGAATGACGAAGTTAGCTACATTATTGGACTCCCACAGAAACAAATGCTATGTCTGACGCATTTACAGAAGGGGATGTTTCGGATGGTGAGAGTGAGACCAAATTCAATTAAATCTTTCAGAGAGACCAGAGACCAATATCCTAAAATACAAGAGCACATTGACCTTGAAGCCACTCAGATGTTGCACTATCAAGTAATCAGAATGAAAACGTTGAAGCTAATGAGATGTGAAACCGAAATTATCGAATGAAAAGTAGTATTTCTTTTTTTTCTAGTTTCTTAAAGAAAAGTAAATTGGAATCTACACAGGCGAATTCTTCAAGTAAAACTGACCAGCTTTTAAGTATATAAGTAGGTTTTGTGTAAGCTCAATACACATAACATACAAATTTTTACTAACGATCTCGAGGGCACACATGTTATAGGCACCTTAAGAACATTAAGTGATAT